TTATATGAACTCTTGTGCACACTGCCCCCTGGTGTTGCTGCCGAAGCAATGCTGAAGCGCTTTGCTTCACGGCCACACTCTGATCACGGCCACACTCTGATCCTGACTTGGGGAGTCTAAACCAACGTAATTTGTACTGAAGCCCTAATCATAGAATCATAGAATATCGGGTTGGAAGGGACCTCAGGAGGTCATCTAGTCCAACCCCCTGTTCAAAGCAGGACCAATCCCCAACTAAATCATCCCAGCCAGGGCTTTGTCAAGCCTGACCTTAAAAACCTCTAAGGAAGGAGATTCCACCACCTCCCTAGGTAACACATTCCAGTGCTTCACCACTCTCCTAGTGAAAAAGTTTTTCCTAATATCCAACCTAACCCTCCCCCACTGTGACTTGAGACCATTGCTTCTTGTTCTGGCAAATGTCTAATGTGCAACAGCTTTCCTGAGCATTGGCACTAAATCTTCAAGGTGAAAATTTGCCTAGAAAAAATAATAATATAATAATTAACAAAAGCTTCTTTACTTGGAGAAAAGACCCATGTCTTACAGTGTCTTAAAGAGACACCTATTTGTGAATAAATTCTTTTATAAGGGAGTCACTCTTGGGGAATGAGAGGTATAAATTTAGTTTTTTGCATTGTTATTCATGAAGAAATCTATCTTCCTTCATCTAAAGGATACAACTCAGTGTCAGGACAAAGGTGTTGGGGCTGAGCGAGAAAAGACTGACACTTGATAAATAGAAATAGGCAGAAGTATTAAAAATAGAATAAAATATTAATCCATTGAGGTGCTGATATGGCTTCCACCCTTGTAATATCTAAATGCCTCCCAAGCATTAATACATTTATCTTCATACTAGCCCTGTGAGGTATTATTATCCCCATTTTGAGATGGTTAAGGAAGGCATAGAGAGATTACATGACTTACCCGTGGTCAGACAAGAAGACTGCAATGAAGCTGGGAACGGAACAATGCCTCCTGGGTCCCCAGTGAGTTGCTTAGCCACAGGATCATCTTTTCTCTCACTAAGTGCTAGACAAGATAGTGTTCAGAATGCCTCAGCCTCGTCTATCACAGCCTCCATCAGAGCTGTGGTGCTGCACTCATTGGGAATAATGGACCTGAAAAATCCTAGGGTGACATCCTGGCGCCATGGACGTCAATAGGAGTTTTGCCATCAATAGGGCTAAGATTTCACTCCTGGGTAGACCAGGTCGAACAGACATCATAGCAGTGAAAGCATTTCAGCTTCAACCAAGGTAATGATGACAGTGGCTGTATGGAAAACCACCAGAAAAACTGTCACACTGTACTTTATACCTGCGACTGTCACCATATAAAACAGAAGAGAAGCGTCTTTTATTAGAATGTTTTCTGTGCCTTTTTTTAACTGATTCTGTTCTATCACCTCCCAGTTTATTCTCCAGATTCCTTTGCTTTTCCCTTGTCCCATTAAGTTAAGACATCAAGTTTGCCATAGGTCAGCTCTATTTCCAGGTTCGAGATCTTTGATTTGACCTGTGTCTGAACCACAGCTCTGCACAGAAATAAAGGGAACAAAGCAATCTCTGCATTGCCTCAAATGTTATTGACTAAACCATTTTTGATTAAAATTCTGTCAGCAGTTTTGCTCTTGGCTTCATTTATAAACTCTACCACCAAGAGTGTGTACATATGAGCATATGTGCTGAATAGATTTATGGACTCTGTGTATAGAAAGCAAGAAGATAAATCGTGTTACCCACAACAATGGGCAACCAGAAACTCTCAGTGTCACTTCAATAGGCACCCACAATAGCCTAATTTCTCCAGGTAATTATCCTGAACGCCCATGCAAATGGTTGGTTAGACAACATATGCATTCTGTGACGGGGCAAGGCCAGATGGCTATAGAAAAGTAGTGGGAGATAGATATATTAGCTCCAGGCTAAACAAATCCCTGGTACCAGGTTAAGTGAAATGGAAGCTGCTCCAGGTCAATTAAGACACCTGGGGCCAATTAAGAACTTTCCAGAAGGCAGGGAGAATGCTAGGTTGATTGGGACACCTGAAGCCAATCAGGGGCTGGCTGAAACTAGTTAAAAGCCTCCCAATCAGTCAGGTGGGTGTGCATGTCAGGAGCTGTGGGAGGAAGTTGTGCTGTTGGAGAGGCTGAGTAGTACACACCATATCAGGCACAAGGAAGGAGGCCCTGAGGTAAGGGTGAAGTGGAGCTTGAGGAAGTGAGGGCTGCTGTGGGGGAAGTAGCCCAGGGAATTGTACATGTCATGTTTCTAAAAGGTCAGCTACCATAGCTGATACTATTAGAGTCCCTGGGCTGGAGCCTGGAGTAGAAGGTGGGGCCGGGCTCCCCCCTCCCCCTTTGCCCCCTGATTAATCACTGAGACTGGGAGACAACAGAGACTGTGCAAGGAAGGATAACTTCTATTCACCTCCCTCGCTGGCTTATGATGAAAATGGCTCAGTAGACTGTGACCCTTGTCTCTAGAGAGAGCAGGGTTACGTGGAAGGTCACAGTGAGCCTCTGAGGCTAGTGAAATCCACCAGGAAACGCAGGACCCACAGAGGCAAGGACAGAGCTTTGTCACAATTCCTAGTTATGGCAATGGTCTGTGCAACCGCAATAACTGTGTGTGCAAATGTGAATCCATTATTTGCCTGGGCATGTTTGCAAAAGCTGGGCCTGGATGTCTCTCTGAACCATATTTAAATTATTCAGAAGTTTGGGTTGGCTGTAGTTCACTGAAGCCCACAGTTTATTCCTGTGAATGGGTGCACAATGTGGGCTGGGGGAAAGATGCAAAATGCAGCCTCTGTGCAGCCACAAATGCAATCTTCATGCTTGCCTGAGCACATGGAGTGCTCGCTGCTCCAAAGGAATGGAAGAGGATGGGTAGGAGGTGTGGTCCATTACACTGAAAAGGTAAATTCCACATGTATCCTGGGCAGTTCTGGAAGATGTACTAAGCTGGGTGCCCTCTTGGACAGCACGACTCAGGAAAATCTTCAGTGCAGGACTGTACTGATATGGCACAACTGAACCTTGAGTGGCGTTAGTGTAAATGTGCAGATGGAACCATTCCTGCTGCTCCACAATGCAGTTCCTCCTTCTCCTTGCTGACATCGAGTGAATGCTGGAACTCGGCCCAGCCACAGAACCCATTAACATGGCCTCCGGAGCAAAACCTCAGCAGCTCTTCACCACTGCCAGTGAGCAGTAAACGGAAAAGAAAATAACCCTGTCCCTCAGAGAGAAATGATAACACTGTCCAAACCCTCCCAGGTAATGAAAAACACAAACAAACTGTCCTCAGGGACTTAAACTGTCTCCTTTGAAACCAGTAGAAACCAGTGAAAAAATGGGCTACGTGTGTTCTTGGTGAAATCAGTGGAGCTGGTTGTGACATTTTAACGTTATTGTTTCAAATGTGCTGTGAAAATGTCAATTTTTGCAGGGGGAAAATATTTCATCAGAAGTTTGAAGGGATGGAAATTCATGATTTTTTGTCTGAAGTTTAGGATTCTGCCATTGTCACCAACAGAAATGGTGAAATGGCAAAGTTGAACCCTGGATCAAAGCTGTGAATATCTGTCAAAGACGAAGCGGGTGAGGTGATATCTTTTGATTCTCACCATCAGAAGTTGGTCCAATAAAAGATATCACCTCACCCACCTTGTCTCTATAGTATCCTCGGACCAACACTACATACAATATCTGCCAAAGTCTCTTTTCACACACAGATACATTTTAAGTGAAAAAACGAGTCTTCTGCACAGCTCCAATAAAGTAAAGAATATTTTCACAGCAGCTATTGACTTTACTGTGTGGTAAGGAAAATAAATTGGACTAGAAAATACCAAGGGATGGATTTTGAGAAGAGTCTCCATGCAAAAACTGAAGTGCATTTGCATGCATAATTACTGTGACTGCATACACAAACAGCGTTAATTGCACATGCAGCTGAGATCATTGTGCACATGTTTTCTATTCACTGTTGTGTGCATAAGGTAGTCAAAGTACAGATCCAAATCTTTGACTATACAAGTTATCCTTAGCATCTTGCTGCTTAGCTCTTGAGCAGTTGGTAAAACCACAAGTTATAATTAAAATGGCTTCAGTATTTGGGCCCTGACTCAAGAAAGCTCACCTATTTGGGATGGCACTTTAGCACATGCTTAATTTTAAGCACATACTTCAGTGTTTTTCTAAATAAGGATGGACTTAAAGATGGACTTAAGTGCTCCCACAAATTATCTTGCAACTGTAAAACCTTAAATTTGTCATCCATTCACTAGTGATGAGACACAAGACCAGTAACATGTTCGGTTAGAGTCAGTTAAAAATGGAAAAAAACAATTCTTCAGGAAATTCAGAAGTTGTTTCCACTTTAGAGTTTGAATAATTTTTTGATTATAATAATAAGTATAATAATATTGGTTACTATAATAATAATTTTGATTTCCCCCCGAGGACAATAAAATAAGTGATATCCAGGAGGTTGGGTTTACTTATGTTATTCCAACTTTTCCAAACTACTCTAACTTTTGAATAGCTTCTGAGTAGCAGTCAGAGAATTTCATTTTTCTGTTTGTCACTCTTCGACTTTTCCAAGGCTGAGGATTTGGAAAAGTTAGAGTGTGGCAAATGGAAAATGAAAAAAAGAAAAAGAATGAAAAACTCCCCAAACCCTAGATAGCATTTATTTTACTGCATTCCTTGGCAAACATGGGGAAAAAAGGGGAAAGGAAAAAAGAAAAAGGGAGAAAAACAAAACAAAAAAATGAAAATTTGGGGGTCTGAGGAAAAACTGGAAAATTTCGTAAACCAAAAACTTTCTTGTGGAAGTTTTGGCCTTCAAAAGAGGCCATTTTTCATTGGGAAAAAAAGATTTGGAGAAAAACTGCAACCAGATCTACTGCTGGTGTCTGTAATTCTACCAGGTATGTCCCAGAACATGTTGCTAACTCATTCAATGTTTAACATCACAGGTACATACGCAGGACTCTCACTCCGTGCTTCAGAGCTTGCACACGGCTGGGCTCCATGGACATGCTGAGCATCGTCTGCTGCCCTCCAATAATGCAGACCTGGTTTTCTTGTGCTGCTTGCTTGAACATGATGATGAGCTGGTTGGCGATGATACTATTCAGAACAGAAATGACGACCATTGGAAACACAAAGGAGATGAACGTGTTGACCTGCAGGAGATACAAATGGCAAACCCACATAGGATTTCAATCAGGAGATCATATTTTATTTCACATGATATCAGATAAATAGCATGCAACGGAGACCTACAGGCTACACCTTTAGCTTTTGGAATGCAGGACTTATTGCACAGAGGGGAAACATAAACAAAGGTGAAATAAGTTCACTCAGGTGGCAGAAAATTGGATGCAAGTGGCTAAATCAATTTTTCTTCAGTTTATAGTGCCTTGTCCCTATATCAATGCAATATGTTGATTGAAATAAACCATTGATGTTTTTATCCACATGACCAGCAGGATACTTCTCAGCTTTCATAGTATACGGTAGCTCTTATCAATGTTTTCTGAATAATAGTTTCTTATTGTATTCTTTTCTTACCATGGGCAATTCTTGGGCTTAGTTTTCTTCTGTTGCATTCAGAATACTGGCCTTTCCTTGTAGATTTAATGATAGTTTTTTGTTAGCTGGTGATCAAATTATCCAATAACCATTGTACTCTAAGAATGAAAATTGATCGGAATAAAAAGTGGAAGTTGTATTGTTTTTAATAGAAATTATTTGGTTCCTGGGGTTTTGATAAAATTAAATGGAAGATCAAATTAACCAGTGATTGCCTCAAGTGGAAGACATTGTTAACATCAAACAGAAACATTTGTGCATTCTCACTGTAGTATCTACAAACTCAGCCAGGAAGTGAGTTTAACAAGCAATAGCTTCAAGAAAATTAGAGGCATCTACATCTTGAGGATGCACTTTTAATCCATGCCAAGACTCAGTGTGATAAGGTCGCAGCCACTTTATATTGCCACTCCAGTGTCATAAAACTCTGGTTCATCTGCACAGCACAGTGAGAGAGAGAGCAAGAGAGAGTTAGGAGAGAGAATGTACACTGGCATGAAACTCTGAGCTGAAACCTGACGAGCATATATCAGACTAACAAGCCTCTTCCTCCTATACATTTGAATTGGAAAGCTTATTATGTATTTCCCACCATGATTATTATGGCCTGATTCAAAACCCATTGAGGTCAATGGGCGTCTTTATACTCCTAGACTCTGGCGACTGTACATTTGTAAAAAGAACGAGGAGTACTTGTGGCACCTTAGAGACTAACAAATTTATTTGAGCATAAGCTTTCGTGAGCTGCAGCTCACTTCATTGGAATGCATGCAGTGGAAAATACAGTAGGAATGTGTGTGTGTGTGTGTGTATATACACACACACATATTATATATATATACATACACACACACACATACATATTATAGATATATATATACAGACAAAGAACATGAGAAATGAGTGTTGCCATACTAACTATAATGAGAGTAATCAGTTAACGTGGGTGTTTCTCCTGCTGATAACAGCCCACCTTAACTGATCACTCTCATTAGAGTTGGTTTGGCAACACCCATTGTTTCATGTTCTCTGTGTATATATATCTTCCTACTGTATTTTCCACTGCATGCATCCGATGAAGTGAGCTGTAGCTCACGAAAGCTGATGCTCAAATAAATTGGTTAGTCTCTAAGGTGCCACAAGTCCTCCTCGTTCTTTCTGCTGATACAGACTAACACGGCTACCACTCTGAAACCTGTACATTTGTAGGAACTGAAAGTATTATAGGTCTAGCTGTAGGTAGTTAGCATTTATATTTAACCCAATATCACTGGCAGTATTGCAAGAGAAATGTGTAGTTAAGTGTCTATCACTCTTTTGAAACCTTTGTCCAGAAAGCTCAAATTTCTAGAGTGGAAAATGAGCTACAGTGATTGCAAGGAAATCATTTAACTAGCGGGTTCTGTGGACATCATAAACTACAAGAGCAGTGTCTGAGTAGTTTATGATATCCACATGGAATTGTTTCCATCTTAGTCGTCCATGAAGCACCACAAGCCATAAGCCTTAAAAAAAATTAATGGATGCAACAGTTTTAAAATTTCAAAACATTTACAATATTTAAGCCATTTACTACAAGTGTGTGAAACCATTAAAACAATTTTGTTAAGACTAAAAATTATAGGGATTTTTGCCAGAGTCAAAATTAGCATCTTAACAGAGATCATTCTAACTTCATTTCCCAAAATGGCCAGGTCTCCATCACATCTGAATGGTCTAAAACAATAAATCAAAATCCATCGTTTGAAAGTCAAATAAACAGATGATAACTTATTAAAAGAATGGTTTCGTATGCTGTTATTTCCACCAGCTGTGTCTCAATCTAATTCAGACATGGTGACTATCCACTTGGATGATGAGTACATTATAAATGTCATGAAGGAATGGATAGATAGATACACACCAATTAGTTTTATGAATTATTTATACCAGGAGCAAAAAATAAGTACTACACAAACATTTGGATAACAGGCACACTGCAGTTACAAGTATTTACCTTTTTGGTTCATAAATCTAAGAAAGATGCAAGTCTAGTTTTGGAGAAGAGAGAAAGAATTGTTGTTACCCACTTTTTTTTAGCTAGACCAAAAATTAGTATGTAATGCATAGCAGTTTGCTCCAGAGCCTGATGTACTTTAACAAAATAACCAGCTGTGTTCCATCCCTCGCTATCCATATGATGAATAGGTCTTTTTTGGCTACTGCTAGCAATAATAATGGAAAAAAGAAAAGGAGTACTTGTGGCACCTTAGAGACTAACCAATTTATTTGAGCATAAGCTCTCGTGAGCTACAGCTCACTTCATCGGATGCATAAATAATAATGGAGTTCTTCTATGGTCAATTTCTTGAGGAAACTCCTGGATACACTTCATTAAGACTATCTGCTAATCGCTTTTGTTCTGAACATTTTCTAAGCAAGACTCCTGTATGTTCTACAAAAAAGACATCTTACCTTGTTCGTACATTATACGCTGCTGGGCCTTAAAAATGCCTCATCTTTTTAAATCCACCCCAAAACCTCAAAGTGCTCTGTAAATATTAAGGGTCAGATTCTCATCTGGTCCAAACTGACACAGTTCCATGGAAATACATGGAGCTGTGCAGATTAACACCCACTGAGCATCTGGATCTACCTAGATAAACTTCAAAATACACCTCTGAGGTAGGGATAAACTTGTGACATAGAAAGGTAAAATGACTTGCCCAAATTCACACAGCAAGCCAATGGCAGAGCTAAGAGAAGAACCCAGGGGTCCTGACTCCCATTTCTGTTTCTCTAACTGCTGGATACACTTCTTCCTTACCTGATGCATAACTACTGCACTCAATAAAGGGAAATGTTAAATGCTTTACCTGCTCCCCTGTGTTTCAGCGTTAACTAACTTTCAGCTAGAAACTTTTGCCCCACCCGTAAATTGGCCACACGCCCAGCAGTCACACAGGAATCATGCAGTATCCTTATTGAGCTCTTTAAAGCCCTGTTTCTTTGCTTACACCTCATTGCTATTATACACTCTTCAGAAATCCTGAGAGACTACCTGGAAACTTATTGACTTTCCCTTTCAAGAATGTATAGTGACAAAACATGAAAAGCAGATCATGGTGGAAGGCAGTTACCTTGAAAGACTTTTTTTTTTCCTTTCTCAATTTATACCCAGGCTCTGATGATAAAAAAAATTATAGACAGAATCAATGCTTCTCCCAGAGGCAGAAGGTTTTCATTGCTGTCCAAAATTATATACAAGCACATCCCCCTGAAAGCAATGAATGCTGCTAAAAGCCCATCTCCTTTCTCCTAGCCCCAATTATTCTGTGGTTTTATTCCAATCGGGTTTCTTTTTAATCAAATTCTGTGAGCTCAGCCCCAAAACTGAGCTGAGTGGTGGCCCAGCGCCACCTGATTTTCAGGAGAAAGAATGATGGTGCTCATAATGCCCGATCCAACTCTCATTGAAGACAATGGAAAACCTGCCATTGTCAGAGATGCAAATCTGTATGTATCTGGCTAGCTCGTGTGCATGCATGTTGGGGTCTATGCATCCAAATCATGCTTTGGGCATGCATGTTGGTGCTGACACACAAGGAAAGAACCCTTTGAACATTTGGCTATAAGTGATTTAAATATTTCTACATCATCTTTAGGGGCATGATGCAAACTGCAAAGTTCTCATTGACTCCAACAGAGGTAGGATCAGCCCCAATCCATGATACCGATGAACGCATGCACAGCTCAGACTAACTCTCAGATGCATCAGCAGCATTTGTACCACCATTCCTCCAAGCTCTGTAAACATACCAGCAATTGAACTTCCATACTTCCCCACCTCTGCAAGTTGGTCTGCTAAACATAAGCACCCTTTTATCTGAGCTCGCGCAAAAGTCTCTCATCAGAACAGGAGCAAATAAAACAAGCCTGGCCTACCAAGTTTGGATCTAAATTGAATCTTGATTCAAATTTACTCCCAGCTTCAGTCTTAGCCTTGTTTTGGCTCCTGATGGAAATGTATGGTCCTCAATCTGAACTCCCTCAACATTCAGGTTTGTTTGGGTCTAGAGTTTAGGTTCACGGGCTATGCCTACCATTACCAGCAGTGTTCTGATCAGATCCTGCTCTTGCTTACATTGGTGTAAATCAGGAATAACTCTACTGAAACCAATGGATTTGTGCCCATGTGAGATCAGAATCATATCCAATGTCCCTACTCAGTACCACTCTCCTAGTGACATCTTGGCTAGAAAGTTTTCCACAAGCACAAAGCAGGTTCGGCTGATCGCAAAGCGGTGCGGGCTGAGGGATGTGCTGGCTGCCCTTCCTGAAGCTCCATTGGCCTGGAGCAGTGAACCACAGCCAGTGGGAGCCGTGATCAGCCGAACGTGCGGATGCGGCAGGTAAACCAACCGTCCCGGCCTGCCAGGGACTTTCCCTGAACAAGCGGTGGACCGGCTTTGAGAACCACTGATCTAGGGTACAACAAATTATTCTATTGAATTGTTTTCCTTCCCAAAGTTGCATTTATGGCCTATGATTTCAATGGGAATTAGGCACTTAATCTGTTTAGGAGCTTTTAAAAATCCCAGGTGCCAATTTG